ATTGTACAGCGCTGAGCAAACCCCTTTGGCGCTATATAAACTCGTAGTAATAATAAATAATAATAATATTATAAGTAGGGGGAAATCTAAAACCACCCCCTATTTAATTCAAGGATATACAGTACATACACCCTAGCTCCCAACTGTTCCTGATTTCGAGGGACTGTCCCTCATTTGAAGAAAGTCCCTCTTGTCCCTCCCTCCTCATTTTAGTCCGGTCTATATAGCTGTATATAAAATGCTTTATTTATGTATCAAAAAGTGTTTCCCAGTACTAAACCTTTCATCTAACGTTCATGTCTCCTTAAAGTGGACCTGTCATTTCTTGTAAATTTATTTTGCTGCTGCATTTGTAAATTCATGTAAAGCGCTGCATAAACTGTTGGCACTATATAAATCCTGTATTAGAATAATAATAATAAAAAAATATTAATAATTCAATAAGTCAATAAAAGGAGAAGTAGTGGTTAAAAAAAGAGGGTTTAACCAATTTTTTTTTATATAATTCTTCTGTAAGAGGGGGGTGGGGGGTGTCAGGGGGTGTGTCCGACACATACATAATTTTGCTAATGGGTGTCACTTGTTCCCACCTCAGAAAGTTGGGAGGTATGCAGGGGCAGACTGACCATTTGGAAACTCGGGTACTGCCCGAGGGCCCGGGGTCAGTAGGGGGCCCCATGAGATGCCCCTGGTACCTTTTTTCATAGGCTTTTATGAGTTTGGGCAAGGACACAGGGGCCCCATGATGATCCCCTATTGCCCGGGGGCCCCATGAGTTGTCAGTCCGCCCCCTGGAGGTATGCATACACACGGAGCACAACTCCGTGGTCACACTATGAGATGTTTCTTAGGACTGCAGTTCCTCTGAGCTCCACGAGGTGGTGATCTAATTTCTACCCGGACAGGAAGTCTCAATGGAAGATAGGAAGTGATGTCAGGTACAGACAGGAAGTGATGTCAGGTACAGACAGGAAGTGATGTCAGGTACAGACAGGAAGTTCCATGTGGGAGGAAGTACAGAGTAGTCCTTGCTGGAAGTGGCAGCAGAGGAGGTGATAAGATCTTATTTTCTATTTACACCCAGTAACCCCCCATTAGGTGCACTGGAGGCCCCCCTGATGTCTCCTTAACCAGTTGCTGCCAGGCTTATAGCCAGATGGGGGACCGGGCAAATGGCTTACCCCTCCAGGTGGATGCTATATGGCATCCTTTCAGACATGCATAGTGCGCCTGCCTACAGGGCCGCACTGCAGTGCGATCTGTCCCTGGCCGTGTACCTCAGACACAGCCAATGACTAGTCTGTGTACCGGCCCCATTGCCAGTACCATGTGACCTGCTGTGACCAATCACAGCAGGTCACATGACAGTTGTATACAATGGATGGCTTCCTTTCATGCCATCCATTGTATACAAGTGTGTCTAGCTGTGAATGGTCACAGCGATCACATGCACAGGCTGGTCCAATCACAGCCCATCTGTGACATGTGATTAGCAGAGGCTAAATCACAGCTAATCACAAAAAAAAAAAACCCTGAATGAATCGATTTCATTCAGGTAAATGCTTACTTATAGCAAAGTAATTCTTTGCTGTAAGCAAATGGTGTAAAAAAAAAAAATACTGATCACTTCCCCAAAGTAGTACAATGTTACTATGGTAATATACTTCTTTGGTCATAGTGAAGTATGTAAAAAAAAAATAGTGAAAATAATTTTTTTAATTTTTTCATTTTCCGAAAAATTACAACTTCAAAAAAACTTGCCATGCCTCTTATGAAGTACGTCGGACTGTCTACTTTGCAAAAAGGGGTCATTTGGGGGATATCTGTACTGTTCTGATATTTGGGGGATATCTATACTGTTCTGATATTTGGGGGGATATCTGTACTGTTCTGATTTGGGGGATATCTGTACGTTCTGATATTTGGGGGATTCTGTACTGTCCTGACATTTGGGGGATATCTGTACCGTACGTTCTGACATTTGGGGGATATCTGTACCGTCCTGACATTTGGGGGATATCTGTACCGTTCTGACATTTGGGGGGTATCTGTACTGTCCTGACATATGGGGGATATCTGTACCGTTCTGACATTTGGGGGATATCTGTACCGTCCTGACATTTGGGGGATATCTGTACCGTTCTGACATTTGGGGGGTATCTGTACCGTCCTGACATATGGGGGATATCTGTACCGTCCTGACATTTGGAGGATATCTGTACCGTTCTGACATTTGGGGGATATCTGTACCGTCCTGACATTTGGGGGATATCTGTACCGTTCTGACATTTGGGGGATATCTGTACCGTTCTGACATTTGGGGGGTATCTGTACCGTCCTGACATTTGGGGGATATCTGTACCGTTCTGACATTTGGGGGATATCTGTACCGTTCTGACATTTGGGGATATCTGTACCGTTCTGATATTTGGGGGGTATCTGTACTGTTCTGACATTTGGGGGATATCTGTACTGTTCTGACATTTGGGGGGTATCTGTACTGTCCTGACATATGGGGGATATCTGTCCTGACATATGGGGGATATCTGTCCTGTCCTGACATTTGGGGGATATCTGTACTGTTCTGATATTTGGGGGATATCTGTACTGTTCTGACATTTGGGGGATATCTGTACCGTTCTGATATTTGGGGGATATCTGTACTGTCCTGACATTTGGGGGATATCTGTACCGTTCTGACATTTGGGGGTTATCTGTACCGTTCTGACATTTGGGGGATATCTGTACCGTCCTGACATTTGGGGGATATCTGTACCGTTCTGACATTTGGGGGGTATCTGTACTGTCCTGACATATGGGGGATATCTGTACCGTTCTGACATTTGGGGGATATCTGTACCGTCCTGACATTTGGGGATATCTGTACCGTTCTGACATTTGGGGGGTATCTGTACCGTCCTGACATATGGGGGATATCTGTACCGTCCTGACATTTGGAGGATATCTGTACCGTTCTGACATTTGGGGGATATCTGTACCGTCCTGACATTTGGGGGATATCTGTACCGTTCTGACATTTGGGGGATATCTGTACCGTTCTGACATTTGGGGGGTATCTGTACCGTCCTGACATTTGGGGGATATCTGTACCGTTCTGACATTTGGGGGATATCTGTACCGTTCTGATATTTGGGGGGTATCTGTACCGTTCTGACATTTGGGGGATATCTGTACTGTTCTGACATTTGGGGGGTATTTTACTGTCCTGACATATGGGGGATATCTGTCCTGACATATGGGGGATATCTGTCCTGACATATGGGGGATATCTGTCCTGTCCTGACATTTGGGGGATATCTGTACCGTTCTGACATTTAGAGATTATCTGTACCATTCTGACCTTTGGGGGATATCTGTACTGTTCTGACATTTGGGGGATATCTGTACCGTTCTGACATTTGGGGGATATCTGTACCGTCCTGACATTTGGGGGATATCTGTACTGTTCTGACATTTGGGGGATATCTGTACCATTCTGACATTTGGGGGATATCTGTACCGTCCTGACATTTGGGGATATCTGTCCTGTCCTGACATTTGGGGGATATCTGTACCGTTCTGACATTTGGGGGATATCTGTACTGTCCTGACATTTGGGGGGGATATCTGTACTGTTCTGACATTGGGGGGATATCTGTCCTGTTCTGACATTTGGGGGATATCTGTACTGTTCTGACATTTGGGGGATATCTGTACTGTTCTGACATTTGGGGGATATCTGTACTATTCTGACATTCTTGGACCTCAAGAAATTAGATTGGCCGTCAGTACTTCAGGATTGATCGATATTCAGATATGTCCCATAGTTTGTGAACTCTATAACTTTCCTACAAATTAAATAATACATCCTAATTTGGGTTATTTTTACCAAAGACATGTAGCAGAATACATCTCGGCCTAAATTTATGAAGAACAATTATTTATTTGCAAACTTTTATAACAGAAACAAAGAAAAACATGTTTTTTTTTTTCTCAAAATTTTCTGTGTTTTTTTGTTAATTTAGCAAAAAATAAAAACCCCAGCGGTGATTAAATACCACCAAAAGAAAGCTCTAGTTGTGTGAAGAAAATGATAAAATTTTAGTTTGGGTACAATGTTGTATGACCGCGCAATTGTCATTCAAAGTGTGAGAGCGCTGAAACCTGAAAAATGGCCTGGGCAGGAAGGGGGAAAAGTGCCCGGTATGGAAGTGGTTAAAGAGGACCTGTCATTTCTAATAGGCTATCACATAAAGAGCAATCATTCTGGGGCTGTTATTCCCAGGTAATGCCAAACTGATGACCTGGAAGAGCCTTGCACCATGTTGGGTAGAGAAGTTATTTGCCTTTTCATGGGGACACGCAGTTTTAAGTGTTGACATATTTGTGTCTTGTGGACGTTACACTTTATGCAAGCAATACAAATTCTGATTTTACCATATTTGTGAAAAAAATTAACTTCTTTTTTTTAAGCCCATCTCCGAAGAAAGAAAAAAATGACCTGGACCTAAATGAGCATTTAACCCTTGAAAAACGGGTTAACCGTTGGGGTCCACTCAAAGGGTTAAATGGACATTTAGGTGTAGGGAACCAGGGAAAGCATTTTTACTTTCCTGAATCTCTTATCCCCCGGCTGTCAGCACTCTCCTCTACTCCCCTATGGACTGCCCTACCTCATGTCCAATGAACGGCTTTGGGCTCTGCATTGGTCTTGATGACATTAGAGAACCTGCCCCCCAATGTAACAAAGGAGAGAAGAAAGCTGCATGGAGTGGTCTTACATCCCAGAAGAGCCAGTGGAAGTGAAGGCTTGAGGTGCACAATGTTCTGGTTCTGTTTGGTCATATGTGGCTCTTGTCACAAAGTCTTAGTTAAAGATAAATATTGGGGAGGTGAATAGGAATCTATACACCTTATGGGGAAATGTGGGGATTTTATTAGGGTGTGATCATAGTTGTGTACTGTGTGCATTACTAACTTATGAGAAGGATACAGCTCTTGTGTCACCATTTATTACATATAATAGCATGAGATATCACCATACAGGGAAACCCGCATGGATCACATGGCTACACCAATGAGGATGGAGGAGGACTGGAGTCACATGACTGAGAGGATACTAAACCTCACCCTGGAGATCATCTATCTTTTGACCGGAGAGGTGAGGTGGATTCTGGGAGGTCACATGACATCACTCTTATCTCTATTAATAAAATACAGACCTGACCAGAGAGGTGAGGAGGATTCTGGGAGGTCACATGACATCACTCTTATCTCTGTTAAAACACAGACCTGACCGGAGAGGTGAGAAGGATTCTGGGAGGTCACATAACATCACTCTTATCTCTATTAATAAAACACAGACCTGACTGGAGAGGTGAGGAGGATTCTGGGAGGTCACATGACATCACTCATATCTCTATTAATAAAACACAGACCTGACCGGAGAGGTGAGGAGGATTCTGGGAGGTCACATGACATCACTCATATCTCTATTAATAAAACACAGATCTGACCGGAGAGGTGAGGAGGATTCTGGGAGGTCACATGACATCACTCTTATCTCTATTAATAATACACAGACCTGACCGGAGAGGTGAGGAGGATTCTGGGAGGTCACATGACATCACTCTTATCTCTATTAATAATACACAGACCTGACCGGAGAGGTGAGGAGGATTCTTGGAGGTCACATGACATCACTCTTATCTCTATCAATAAAACACAGACCTGACCGGAGAGGTGAGGAGGATTCTGGGATTCTAGCATGATATTCCTATTGGTTCCTCAATACAGAGATTTCCTCTTCTGAAGTCAGGTGATCATATGACCATCACAGTGCCTCCATGTGACTCCCTAAATCCTGAGAGACACAACATGCAGAAGATTCTAGAAGTCACCAAGAAGATGATGGAGCTGCTGACAGGAGAGGTGAGCGGTGCCGGGAATTCTGGGACATTCTCCAGTAACAGACAAGGGATGTGTCTGGATGGTGACTGTATCATTGTGTGTGTCAGGTTCCTATAAGGTGTCAGGGTGTCACTGTCTATTTCTCCATGGAGGAGTGGGAGTATTTAGAAGGACACAAGGATCTCTACAAGGACGTCATGATGGACAATCAGCCGCCCCTCACATCACCGGGTAAAGAGGAGACTTTATTGTAAAGGAGAGAGCAGTATGGAGGATCCACCTAGATCCCCCATCATCTGATAAACACATAGAAACAATGGATTCAGTCAGTGTGTGTGTTTCCTACAGATGGATCCAGTCATGGGAACACACCAGAGAGATGTCCCCGTCCTCTGTATTGCCGGGATTCCACACAGGAAGGTCACACCATCCCTCACCATTACAACGTTGGTGGGACGGATCATTTAGAACTTGGACTCGTGGAGGTGATGTGTGGATTTTTATAAAAAAATGTATATCACAATGTTAAAGCTTACATTTTACAGATGTTATTGTTGATCATTTTCTTGGTTTAGGGTGAAGATCTGATAGATATAAAAGTTGAGGTGAAAGTAGAAGAAGAAGAGGCGTATGTGAGGGATGATCAGCAGTCTATGGAGGAGGAAGGAATAACGGGGACATTTATAGAGGAGGACACTCCTACAGAGATCAGCACAGGTGGGTCATGAACACTAAATCCATTCCTCCACCCATACTGCTCACTGATTGGTCCAGAGTAGGGCGGGGACTGGGTGATATCAGCCTGTAATCCCCTGGTCACTTTCCTGAGCTGTGTTCCCCGTCCTGTATTCCTGGATTTCTCTCGGATAATCTTCCTTCTCTGTGCTGCAGACACAATTCATGGATCTAGACTGGATTGATGGAGATTCTGGGGTTCAGCCTGTAGACAGGGCATTGGTCTTATCCAATGCAGGTGGCATTCAAACCGCAGCAGCATTAGACAGGGCCGGTGCTACCACACTGGGTGAACAAGGCAGCTGTCTAGGGTGCGCTGCTGCTTAAGGCACAGCCATGGCCGTGACTCACGCACATCTTTGACTTGGAGTACGTGGAGAGGTAGGGTAGGGTGCAGCTTTGCTGTCTGAACAGCGGACCATAAAACCTGGAATTTAAAGAGTGGCTGCTGCGGACCTGACCTGAGCAAGGAGGAGCAGGGACAGACTGTCAGACAGAGCCGAGCAGAGATCTGGAGCGTGTGGTGGAGACCAGAGCCAGCCTAAGCGGTCACCCAGAGCAGACTGTGGACTCCAGAGCCAGCCAGCTGTCACCCGGAGTGGACAAACCCACCCAGCCAGAGCCAGGGGGCTCAGGTAATTCATTTGCTGATGTGCAACAGTCATCTACCATGTCATCTCCATCCTGCACACCGTCATCTACCATGTCATCTCCATCCTGCACAGTCATCTCCATCCTGTACACAGTCATCTACCATGTCATCTCCATCCTGCACAGTCATCTCCATCCTGTACACAGTCATCTACCATGTCATCTCAATCCTGTACACAGTCATCTACCATGTCATCTCCATTCTGCACACATTTATCTACCATGTCATCTCCATCCTGCACACAGTCATTATCACCCTGCACACAGTCATCTACCATGTCATCACCATCCTGAACACAATAATCTCCATCCTGCACAAAGCCATCTACCATGTTATCTCCATCCTGTACACAGTCTTCTCCTTATCATCTCCATCCTGCATACAGTCATCTCCATGTCATCTCCATCCTGCACACAGTCATCTCCTTATCATCTCCATCCTGCACACAGTCATCTCCATGTCATCTCCATCCTGCACACAGTCATCTCCATGTCATCTCCATCCTTCACACAGTCTTCCCCATCCTGCACACAGTCATCTCCTTATCATCTCCATTCTGCACACAGTCATCTCCATGTCATCTCCATCCTTCACACAGTCTTCTCCATCCTGCACACAGTCATCTCCTTATCATCTCCATCCTGTACAGAGTCATCTCCATCCTGCACATAGTCATCTACCATGTCATCTCCATCCTGCACACAATCATATCCATCCTGTACACAGAGTCATCTCCATCCTGCTCACAGTCATCTCCATCTTGCACATAGTCATCTACCATGCCATCACCATCCTGCACACAATCATCTCTGTCATCTCCATCCTTCACACAGTCTTCTCCATTCTGCACACAGTCATCTCCATGTCATCTCCATCCTGCACAGTCATCACCATCCTGCACATAGTCATCTACCATGTCATCTCTATCCTGCACACAATCATATCCATCCTATACACACAGTCATCTCCATCCTGCTCACAGTCATCTCCATCCTGCACACAATCATCTGTCATCTCCAACTTTCACACAGTCATCTCCTTATCATCTCCGTCCTGTACACAGTCATCTCCATGTCATCTCCATCCTTCACACAGTCTTCTCCATCTTTCACAGTCTTCTCCATCTTGCACACAGTCATCCCCATGTCTTCTCCATCCTTCACACAGTCATCTCCATCCTGCAAACCACATTTTGCATTATGTACGTTATCTCAGACTCTAACCACACCCCCTTTAAGCCACAACCAATGCTTAGCGTACTTTAATCCCTGCTCACTTTTCACTTTACACGCCACATTTTTATCTTTCTTGTTTCTTATAGAACATCATTTCCTCCCAGGTCCCCAGTCAGTAATTTTTTCTGGGGGGGGGGGGGGCAAGCAGCTGGTCTTGCCTAGGGCGCAAAATAGTCTAGCACCAGCCTTGATTACAGCGGGAGAGGAAGACGGGGAGAAATTAGTCCTCCATGGTTTCCTAGGTCACTGGGAAGCTGTCCGGTTGGATGGCATTGTCCCATGTGACTCTGGTGGCCATCTTGGATCAGGCAGAGTCTATTTAAGACCTTGGCTCCCGGGTTTGGCGCACATTTTGTGAGTGGACAATGTAAGGATAGGTTACAGGTCTATCAAGGAAAGTGAACAGCTGTAGGGAAAGGTTTTGGATGAGTAGAGACAGGATAGGGACCTGCTATCCTTATGTTCCACCCTGGAGACAGATGCTGTCGGTGCATCAGAACCTTCTCCCACCCAACGTTATTGCACAGAAATGTGAGTGTTCCCAGCTGGCCACCTTCCTGCTGGGCTGTTTGTACCTTTGAGCCATTCCTTCAATACAAGTTGTTAATAGCATCCAGATAGTGTGCTCACTGCCGTTGCACCACGCTACACTTACTCACAAGCAAAATAGTGATTTTCACCATAAGCATATGCTCTCCTCCCCCGGCCTGTCAGTTTAGGTGGACGGCCATGTCTTGGTAGGTTTGCAGTTGTGCCATACTCTTTCCATTTTCGGATGATGGATTGAACAGTGCTCCATGAGATGGTCAAAGCTTGGGATATTTTTTTTATAACCTAAGCCTGCTTTAAACTTCTCCACAACTTTATCCCTGACCTGTTTGGTGTGTTCCTTGGTCTTCATGATGCTGTTTGTTTACTAATGTTCTCTAACAAACCTCTGGGGACTTCACAGATCAGCTGTATTTATACTGAGATCACATGACACACAGGTGGACTCTATTTACTAATTAGGTGACTTCTGAAGGCAATTGGCTCCACTAGATTTTAGTTAGGGGTATCAGAGTAAAGGGGGCTGAATACAAATCCACGCCACACTTTTCACAGATTTATTTGTAAAAAATGTTAAAAACCATTTATCATTTTCCTTCCAATTCACAATTATGTGCCACTTTGTGTTGGTCTATCACAGTGGTCAGCAAGCCGCGGCTCGCGAGCCACATGCGGCTCTTTAAACACTTTAATGTGGCTCTTCTGTGTGCCGGGCGCCCGCTCCCCTCCCTCCTCTCGGGCGGCCGCCCCAAAGTCAGGACTCTGCAGCTAGCCCAGAAATGGGCAAACTACGGCCCGGCGGACCTTTTAATCCGGCCCGCGGAGCGTGGCAAACATTGGCTGTCAGGATGTAGGCGGGGCAGCGTGACGAACTCCTCTCCTCTCACAGTCCGCCCTGAAGACCGGAACGGCGCGGGAACACGGCGAGAGGAACGCACGGAGCAAAGGTAAGTGAATTGACACAGGGGGGGACTTGGCTTACTACTTGCTACTTACTACTACTACTATATGAGGGATGAATTAATATGGGGGATGAATTACTATATGGGGGATGAATTACTTATGGGGGATGAATTAATATATGAGGGATGAATTAATATGGGGGATGAATTAATATGGGGGATGAATTACTATATGAGGGGATGAATTACTTTGGGGATGAATTACTATATGGGGGATGAATTACTATATGGGGGGATGAATTACTATATGGGGGATGAATTACTATGGGAGATGAATTACTTATAGGGGGGGATGAATTACTATGGGGGATGAATTATATGGGGGATGAATTACCTATATGGGGATGAATTACTATGGGGGATGAATTACTATATGGGGGGATGAATTATGGGGGATTGAATTACTATGGGGGGATGAATTACTAATGGGGGATGAATTACTATATGGGGGATGAATTACTATGGGGGATGAATTACTATATGGGGGATGAATTACTATGGGGGATGAATTACTATATGGGGGATGAATTACCTATGGGGGATGAATTACTATATGGGGGATGAATTATATGGGGGATGTATTACTATATGGGGGATGAATTACTATATGGGGGATGAATTACTATGGGGGATGAATTACTTATATGGGGGATGAATTACTATATGGGGGATAAATTATATGGGGGATGTATTACTATATGGGGGATGTATTACTATATGGGGGATGAATTACTATATGGGGGATGAATTATATATGGGGGATGAATTACTATGGGGGATGAATTACTATGGGGGATGATATTACTATTTGGGGGATGAATTATACTATATGGGATGATACTATATGGGGGGTGAATTACTATGGGGGGGTGATATTACTATGGGGGATGAATTATATATGGGGGATGAATTACTATATGGGGGATGAATTACTATGGGGGATGAATTACTATATGGGGGATGAATTATGGGGGGTGGGGGGGTGTGAAATTACTATGGGGGATGAATTACTATATGGGGGATGAATTACTATGGGGGATGAATTACTATATGGGGGATAAATTACTATATGGGGGGATGAATTACGATATGGGGGATGAATTACGATATGGGGGATGAATTTTGGGGGGATGAATTACTATATGGGGGATGAATTACTATGGGGGATGAATTACTATATGGGGGGATGAATTACTATAGGGGGGATGAATTACTATGGGGGGATGAATTACTATAGGGGGGGATGAATTTACTATGGGGGATGAATTACTATATGGGGGATGATGAATTACTATATGGGGGATGAATTACTATGGGGGATGAATTACTATGGGGGATGAAATTACTATATGGGGGATGAATTACTATGGGGAATGAATTTACTATGGGGGATGAAATTACTATGGGGGATGAATTACTATAGGGGGGATGAATTACTATGGGGGATGAATTACTATGGAGGATGAATTACTATGGGGGATGAATTTACTATGGGGGATGAATTACTATATGGGGGGGATGAATTACTATGGGGGATGAATTACTATATGGGGGATGAATTACTATGGGGGATGAATTGCTATGGGGGATTTAATTACTATGGGGGATGAATTAGTATATGAGGGATGAATTGATATGGGGGAATTATTACTATGAGGGGGGATGAATTACTATATGGGGGATTAATTACTATTATGGGGATGAATTAATGAATTACTATAGGGGGGATGAATTTACTATGGGGGATTAATTACTAAATATGGGGGATGAATTAGGGTTATGGGGAGATGTATTTTCAGTTTTAAAAATGTGTGGCTCTCAAAATAAATTTCAATCGTTGGTTTTGGCCGAGATTTGGCTCAGTTGAAAAAAAAGGTTGACGCCACCACTGGGGCTATCAACACATCAAATTCCCAGTAAAATACATTGACGGTTTTGGTTGTAACATGACAACAATGGGGGGGGGGGGGGGACACTTTTTTTCAAGGGGAATGAATACTTTTTCAAGGCACTGTTTTGAAAATGCATTCTTTTGTTACACCCATTGTCCTCCCAGCTGACATTTTATATCAGATGATTGTGATTGGAGCACAGACTTTCACCATGTTGATAATAATGTGATAACATTCCTTCAAACTGTGATCCTTAAACAGAAAAGTAATAATGAGCGGGGAGGAGTCAATACCCAATAGGATGGTGGTTCTCTTCAGGATCAGTCCAGTCTTCATTTGTTGGTTGTTCCTTGCCCCCATCCTCATCTCTCTGCCTCTGGTGGGGCTTCAGCCCCGCTGTTCTTCATACTAAATCATGGACTAAATAAAAGAAGTGCAGTAATTCTTGTGTTGGGAAGGATGGCGATGAGTGTGAATACAGGGGTGGGGACCCTAGTCCTATAATCCCCTCATCACTGTCCACACCTATTAAAAGACAGTCACGATTTCTAGTTGTTTTCTGACCCTCTGACTAAGGTTCATGAATAAAGAAATGACCTGGTAGGAGATCAGAGGAGCCATTTCCTAGTTCCCCTTGAGGATGGAAATTGTTCCTGCTCCTCAGAGACCAAACTGAATGATGTGGGCGGAGTCCTGGTTTGGGGGAACCAATCAGCTCCTGTCTTTAGAGTAATCCTCTTTGTCTTTGATATTTTTAGTTACATGGCCGGGAGATGAGGAAAAACTCCGAGGATTGTCTCACTTTGTCTCCAGACTGGGAAAGTAGGAAGATGAGGACATCACCACATAGTATAGTCCAGGAGAAAACCCGGCTCCCTCCAATGTCCAATCTCGGCACCACCACCAGTGTAGATGGACCATCGGATTCCTCCCTATCATGAGAAACCTCAAGACTGTGAGGGAAAGTTTGTCATTCTTCTAACATGGATAAGAGGTTTTCTTGTAATGAGTGCGTGGGAAAAGTTTCCATTTTAAATCCGGGCTTGATGTGCATAAAAGATCTCACAAGGGGGGAGAAACCATATTCCTGTCCTGAGTGTGGGAAATGTTTTTCACAGAAGTACCATCTTTCCACACATCAAAAAATCTCACACAGGGGAGATAGCCGTATTCCTGTTCTGAGTGTGGAAAATGTTTTTCAGAGAAGCCCGCTCTATTAAAGCATCAGAGAGTCCACAAGGTGTTGATGAAGCCATATTCCTGTTCGGAGTGTGGAAAATGTTTTCCCAGAAAAAAAAAAATCAGAACTTTCATACATCAGAGGTCTCACACGGGGGAAAAACCATATTCCTGTTCTGAGTGGGGGAAATGTTTTTCACAGAAGACGCATCTTAACAGACACACCGGGAAAAACTCACTCGGGTGAAAAGCCTCATTCTGTTCTGAGTGCGGAAAGTTCTTTTTAAGGAGGTCCGATCTTTACACACATCAGAGATTGCACACAGGCGAGAAGCCTTATCCTGTCTATGTATTGAATGCGAGAAATGTTTTTCAAGGAAGTTATGAACTTCGCAGACATCAGAGATTCCACACAGGTGAGAAGATGTATTCCTGTCCTGAGTGTGGAAAATATTTTTCAGTCAAGTCCAATCTTTACAAACATCAGAGATTGCACATGGGAGAGAAAAGTATTCCTGTCCTGAGTGTGGGGGAAATGCTTTTTAAAAAAATCAAAACTTGTCAGACATCAGAGGTCTCACACACGGGGGTTAAAATCATATTCCTGCCCTGATTGCGGAAAATGTTTTGTTCAAACATCGGATCTTGTCAAACATCGAAGGACTCACACGGGGGAGAAGCCGTTTTCTGTCCTGAGTGTGGGAAATGTTTTTCACAGAAGTCCAATCTTATCGCGCATCAGATATTGCACATGGGGCAGAAGCCGTTATTCTGTCCTGAGTGAGGGAATTGTTCCTCAACGAAGTCCTGTCTTCCTGTACATCAGGGATCCTTGAGGTGCATTAGTGCCTTGAGTGAGGAAAATGCCTTCTAGATGAATGTTGCTGGACATCCCAGCTCTCATGTGGGGAAGAAGCACACCCTGATATACACCTCAGATATACTCCATGGCTGATCTTCATCATGGAAGAAACAGTTCATAAGGAGATCAGAGGTCACCAAAGACGTGGATGAAGTGTGGGACCGGGTTGGCTATTGAGAGTAGCAGAAAAATGGAGTCAAGACCTTTCATTGGCTGAGTATATTTTATGGTGGAAGTTTCACAAACACCTAGAGGTCTACTTTTCAAAGATCTGTTAAAAGAATGTTGTAGCAAACCTGCTCATCAGAGTGGAAGCAGAGTTCTTCTTTTTCTTGTTCCTTCTGTTATTCGAGGGTATTCCTGATCATTCCTCACATCCCCCCTTTCCCTTCCTGAGAGAGACCAACGTTATCTCCTGACAGATGGTGGGGGTCAGCCCAGGAGAAACATTCCTGGTGGGGCCAGCAGGCTGGGAAAAACTGTCACCTTTCTCACCTACGTCTGATAAGGCCGCATTTCTCAGAGGGCTGGGAAGCATTGACCCAAAACGGCGTAAGCCCACAAATTATCAAACTGACCAGAGTAATTGCACATTCCTCAGGTGAACCGTATGTTTCAGGTCATGTATTATGAAGCTATAGTTAATTCAGTTTCCCACTGACCACTCCCAAAACGTGTAGTAAGAGCCCCCCTCCCCTTTGAGAGGGACTCTTAAGAGAGACAAGTGAGCTAGAGTTTGTGACACACAGAGATCTCCGAGGTAACATCGTAACAGAGGAGATCAAAGAACCTTTCTGCTCTTTACTTGGATCTGCAAACCCAGGCATATGGGCAAGTAACTTAACCCTGTAATCTTCTTCCTAATTATCTCTTTGCTGTGTCTTTATATACATATATATATATTTTTGTGACATCTCTTTGTAAATATTTTATCGCACCTGTTTTGACCCTGTTAGAAATAAATCTTTCTTTCTGAAAGTGTTAAACTGTTTCTAAGCGCTTACTTGCAATTCACAAATCCCTGCCTTTGAAGAGACGCTACTGTTTGTTATATCTCTGTATAGTAGGTCCGCAGGCTGTGCTATATAGATCAGTATTTCTATTTCAATGGTTTTTATGAAATTTTAAACAGTATAAACAGAGGCAATAAAACACGCCCACGCAGGGGCTATCAATTGCACAGATAAACAATATGCAAAATAAAAAAAAAGGAAAAACAATGCTCTAATGCCAACAGGGCAAAAGGTACGCCCACGCAGGGGCTATCAATGGCACATAAGTTACAAAACAGTAATGTAACTGGTTTATAACAACTAAATGCAGCTGCCCAGTCACACCAAAAACAGAGAGAGAGAGAAAAAAGAAAAGAGAGAAAGAAAAAAAGAAAGGAAAAAAAAAAAAAGGGGGTGGGGGCAAAGAGCAGGGATTCAAGAGCGCCAACACCGAACGCCATTACATCCCCAGACTAGCCGGGGGGAGTGAGGGAAGGGCATATTGCAACCACGGCTCCCATATTTTCAAAAATTTACGTTGGGAGTCGTTGCGGATACTCGACATCTGTTCGTTGAGCATCATAGTGGTCATACGATCCCGCACCCCTGAAGAGGGACAAACGGACTCTTCCAGGCCTGAGCAATTGTTCTAGTGGCGGATAAAAACAGATAGGAAGCCAACTTCTGCTGGTGAGCTAAGAGGCCCGGTATGGGGCAATGAAGCAAGGCATACCGAGCATCCCGGCGTATGGAGAGATGGAACAAGGTGAAAAGGAGGCCAAATACACGAGACCAAAAACGAAACAGTCTCGGGCATGACCACCAGATATGTAATACATCACCACGATGACCACAACCCCGAAAACATTGATCACTACAGGCAGGGTTAGCCCGGGCCAGCTGAGCCGGAACCCAGTACCAACGAAACAATACCTTATAGGCTGCCTCCAGTGTGGTCGTATTAAATGAGCATTTAGCTATGAGTGACCAGGCCTTATTCCAGTCCTCCGGATCCACAGCCACTCCCAGGTCGCGCTCCCACTGAACAACATATGAAAGAGAAGTATGCGACGAGCGTCTGTTCAGAGCTGCATAAAGAAGGGATATAAGGCCCGGAGCGCCCGGACGCAGTTGGCAGAGCTGTTCAAAGGCAGATTTCTGGTACGGGAACGCAGAAGTACCCCGCAGCGAGAGCAGCCAGTGTCGCAATTGAAGATATCGAAAAAATTCCGCCGGGGGGATATTCCGGGATTCCCGAAGAGAGTCCCAGGTGGGAAAGGACCGAAAAAAATCAAAAAGTGTCGCACCTGCGAAAAACCATTAGTCACCCACCAAGAAAACGCCCCTGGGTGATCCAAACCCGGCGGTAAAAGAGGGTTGTTAATAATTGGGAGCAAAGGCAGAAAAGGTGACATCAGACCACCAGAGTAACGCACCGAGTCCCAAACTTGTAGGCCATGAAGTAACATCGGACTCAGTGCCATAGGGCGCAGGGCAGGGGGAAGCCATAGAAGCGTCGATAGTGCGATAGGGGCACAATTAGGTAGTTCCAACAGGACCCAGAGGGGGACGTCGGAAGAGGCGTGCAACATAGACAGCGGGGCAATCTGGCTTGCTTGATAATACTTAGTCACATTAGGCACCCCAAGACCACCCTGAAGTCTATGGGCAAAAAGCGTACTTTTGGATACTCTGGGGTGCTTATCGGCCCAGATAAAACGCATTAACTTCGCCTGAAGCAACCGAAGAAAATGAGGGGGAACCCGCACCGGGAGTGTGCGAAAATAATACAACAATTTCGGCAAGATGGTCATTTTCACCGAATTGAACCCGTCCTATCCAAGACAGGTGCGGAAATTGCCAAGAATGCATAAGAGAGGATAGAGAGCTAAGCAATGGATAGTAATTCGCAGCAAACAAGGAGTCATAAGTGGGGGTCAAGCGAATGCCTAAGTATTCAAGAGAAGAGGAAGCCCATTTGTAAGGGAAGTGGGATTGTAGGCGCGAAAACCAAATCTGAAGCCAAAGTAATATTGAGGGCGACAGTCTTATCCAAGTTGATACGGAGACCCGAAATCAAGGAGAAGCGCTCAAGAACCTGTTGCAAATTAGGAAGCGTCGTCAGGGGGTTAGTAAGAGTCAGGAGGGCATCATCCGCAAAAAGGTTCAGTTTGAATTCCTGTCCCGCGTAAGGAACCCCCGATACATTGCAATCGGTCCGAAGCGCCAAAGCCAACGGCTCAAGCGCCAGGACAAAGAGCGCTGGGGACAGGGGGCAACCCTGTCTCGTCCCTCGCCCAATAGGAAAGGGATCTGAAAAATACCCAGCGTATTTGACGGAGGCCGAAGGAGAAGAATACAAGGCCTGAATCCAAGAAAGAATAGAATCCCCAAAACCCCAACGAGACAGCACAAACCGCAGATATTCCCAGGATAGAGAATCAAAGGCTTTATATATGTCTAAAGACAGTAAGAATCCCGGGATTTTCCGCTGTTGCAGAAAATGTATAAGATGGACCACCTTACGAACGTTATCACCCGCCTGCCTCCCGGGGACGAACCCTACCTGGTCCCTGTGGACCAGGCTACGCAAATATTTATTAATGCGGAAACTAAGGATCTTGCCCAATATCTTCAGGTCTTCATTAAGAAGAGAAATAGGCCGGAAGGCTTGCGGTTCCTGTACATCATCGGTCGTCTTAGGAATCATGGCGATATGCGCTCTAAGCGCATCTGGGGAGGGCGAGGAGCCCTGTCGTAACGCATTAAAATACTCAGCCAAAAAGGGCGCCAACAAGGCTGAGAATTTCTTATAATAAAGACCGGAAAAGCCGTCGGGACCTGGGGCCGCGGTGGACCGTAAAGATTTGATAGCTTGGAGCACTTCTGGTACAGTGACACCGGCGTTGAGTGCCACCTGTGCTGCCTCGGATAACCCAGGAAGTCGGAGATCTTGAAAGAATGCCTCTGCTTGAGCCACGGGGAAGGGATCTGGTTTAGCGTAGAGGCGTGCAAGGAAGTCTGAGAAACGGGAAACAATCTGCTGGGGATTAGAAGTACAGCCACCTGTAGGAAGTCGCAGTCGAATCGGTTTATGGGGTTTCCCCACAGAATTGAGTTTCCTGGCCAGCATCGGGCCTGGCTTATTAGCACAGGAATAAAATTTGTGTTTGGTCCAACGCAGGGCCCGTTCCGCCTCTGAAGAGGCAAGTAGGTCTAACTCTGCCGCCAGAGCGTCCCGAGCGCGTTTATGGGCCGCAGATGGAGAGGACTTCCAACGCGCATCTGCAGAGGCCAGGAGAGAATGAAGCTCCAAAAGTCGGCGCTCCCGCTTCCGGACCGCCGCCAGCTGTATAACATGACCCCGCACCGTGGCCTTATGCGCCTCCCATAGGGGCACTGCCGAGGAGACCGATCCCGCGTTTTCCGTGAAGTATGTTCGTAAAAAAAATTCTATTTGTTGGCAGGTAGCCTGAGTGGTCAATAAAGAATCATTGATGCGCCAATGAAAAGGGCGCCGTTCTGACCCAGAGAGGGCAAGGAGAAGTACCAAGGGATCGTGATCCGACCAAGGCGAGGAGGGAATAGTTATCCGCCTGACCAAGGGAAGCTGCTGAACCTGCATAAATATATGATCAATTCTACAAAAACTATCATGAGGACTGGAATAGAATGTAAAGTCGCGTTCCGTTGGGTGAAGCTCCCTCCAGACGTCCGCCAGCCCTGCTGTCCGCAGGAGAGAGCGCATACGTTCCTCCAGCACCAAGTCATGAGAAGGGGCCGCCCCCCGTGCGCAGCGCCTATCCAATGCGGAATCCAAAGTAACATTTGAATCCCCCAAAACAACAAGAAGACCCTTGGAGTGTCGGGAAACAATGGTGCAAAGATGTGAAAAGAATTTATCCTGAAAACGATTAGGCACGTAGTAAGAGACAAAAGTAACCTCCTGATCCCAGAGGGTGCCTTGCAGAAGCAGATACCT